TCTCTTTCCCAAAATGCAGCAAAGCATTTCCTTACAAATCAGTTAACATAGTCCTCAATTCACCAACTACTCTTGACTATCCATTACTCACGTACGTGGGGGTGGGGAGTAAGGCTCCGTGTTCCAGGACCTATTTTCGGCTTGTCACAAATGCTTGTGTACCTATCAGTGTGTTTACCTTCCATTCCTGATGGTCTGCTAACCTTCACTCTGAACTTCAAGGTCTCACCAGTGCTTAAATTAACCTATTTAAGATGTTATAAAATGTATTAGCTACCTATACAACCCACTCCCCACCATTTAAATATCCCTTTACAGATCCCTAGGGAATGTTTTCCCAGGCATTTATTACAGTCATTCTAGGGGAGTCTCTGAGCAACAGTTGCTTGTAGGACTCTATGGGGCCATCTGGAGGAGCCATGGTGGCACAGAGGTTAAGCACTTGGCTGCTAACCGAAAGGTCAGCAGCTCGAACCCACCAGTCTCTCTGTGGGAGAAAGATGTGGCAGCCAGCTTCCCTAAAGATTACAGCCTTGGAAACCCTATGGGGCAGTTATACTCTGTCCTATACTCTGTCCTACAGGGTTGCTATAAGTTAGTTTCAACTCAACGGCAATAGATTTATGGAGTCATCTGCTCATGTTCAGGAGTTGCGCTGGCAAAAACTACTACCCCAAAGGCCAACTCTAACCTGACCCATTTCTGTAAACAAAGTTTTACTGGAACACAGCTACAGTCGTTAATTTATAAATTCTCTATGGCCATCTTCTCAATACAATGGCAGAGTTGTGACAGAGACAAAAAGTATAGTCTGCGGAGCCTCTGTTACTCTCTGGCCTTTTACAGAGTTTGCTGACCTCTGGTTACTTCTTTTAAAAACCGAACTCACTGCCATTGAGATTATTCCAATTCATAGTGACCCCCATAGGTTTTCTGAGGCAGTAAATCTTTATGGAAGCAGATTGCCCAGTCTTCCTTCCACACAGTGGCTGATGGGTTTGAACCACCAACCCTCTGGTTAGCAGTCAAATGCCTTAGGCACCGTACCGCCAGAACTCCTTGGTTACCTGAAATTCCAAACTCACTGCCGCCAAGTCGATTGTGACTCATAGTGATCCC